TATGTGTACCATTTTCATCCTCAAACTTTAAAAATATGATAGAATATTTGATTTCTGGTGGTAATTGGAACACGCATTGCCTATGTAAGTGTATTTTCATTGACGATGAAAAAAAGTTATTTCAGCACCCGTTCTTGAAGTCATTTCAAAATACTATAGGAGTATGGTTGAGAGGTGTTTTTGGCGTGACTAAAACACTTTTTATCAGGTCCAAAGCACTTCTCTTTCGTCGAATGCTTGACCAAGAAACATTTAATTAGAAAACACTTTTAACTTTTGAGAGTATAATTATCAAAATTATTTTTACTATAATTAAATATTTTTGCTAAAAATACTGATTCTAAAAATACATAAAAAATGTCTTCAAATACACTTTTTTTTTTTAATCTTACAGTGATTTTGAACTTACAAATATATAGTGAAGCATCATATATAAGAACAACTTGCAAAGCATTTTAATAAATTAAAATCACTTTTAAAATTCAAGAAAAGAGCCATTAATTCCTATGCACACAAATAAAGAGGATTGGGATCTTTCAAGAAGATCCAAAGTATTGCCCCCAAAAAAAAAAATATATATATATATATATTGTCAAACATTAATGACCCTGTGCACAAATTCTTAGCCTTTTTTTTGTGTGTGTTTTATGTTAGTTTTAGGTTTCTTTTTCCAAATAGTCAAACTTTCAAAATCATTTGGTATTTTTTATGTACGATTAATTACTTTTTTTTTTTCTTTCTATAGATGTGAAGCATCAACTTTTGAAAAACAAAATTTTGTACAACCGTTCATGAATTATAAAATTAATGATCATAAAAAAATATTGCGTTCTTAAACTTGTCTTGTATCATTACACACAATGTGGCAGACATGCATGAAAAATAAAATTAATGTTGACATCATTAATACGAGAACGAAAATGACCCTACACAAATATATATTTTCATTCCCAACAAGTGATTACAACACTTATTTTTCATAAGCTCATGTGTTTCATTTTCATCCTCACAAACCCTTAAAAAATTATATTTTATCTTCATAATTAAAGCACACTCGAATATTGGATGAAAAAACAAACGTTGACACACAATTTAACATTGAAAAATTTTCCAGCTTTAAATTCTGTAAATATGTACCTCTATATATATGTATATATTTCTGAGAGAGATAATAAAACTAGAAACACATCGGTAGAAATATGGTTATGAGCTCAATTTTCTAAAACAGAAAATAAAAAAATAAAATGTAACAAGTTCCCTAAGGAATGTCATAGTGTGGCAAGAGTTGGATGGAAAAATACCACATGACATGTGGACGACCCGACAGCTTAGTTGGGTATCATCAAGAATGGTCAAATGAAGCTAAGGGAAAAGGCCGACCTGCACCCAGAACTGAACCAGAGACTAGAAYTTGGGAGTTTCGCCTAAGTTCCGTAAAATCGACCTGGGGCCCCGACAGCTATAACTGYCGGTCGGAGCCGTTCCAACGGCTTTGTCCCCCCACTACCTATAAAAAGGACTCTTCTCCCCTYTGTGTTCAGATACGCAATTCTGCTCCGAGAATGACTTATTGTGGCTCGCGTTTTTTCTAACTTGAGCGTTGGAGTGTTTGTTCCTTTTGCAGGTCCCTCTTGCTTAAGGTCGCACCTCACTAGTTCGTCCTTGCTGCCACGTGGCAGATCTTAGGTAGCTCCACACAATCCTGCATCAACAACASGGTCTTGAATCTTGTGGTAKCATTTACCTCGGTTGCTGAACTCAAACAAAAATCTCATAGTTTTTACATTACATTGGATACCAACACCAAAATATTACTTTCTTTTCCCCTTTCCTTAATTCAAAAGAAAAGAAAAACCTTAAAGGAAGTAAAAGAAGAACAAAAAAGAGGGAGAGAGTAAAATTTTCAAAGATATATATAAAAAGCCATATATATTTATTTTCATTGTCCCACCATAGATATAGGAAATAATATCCAAAGTGTTTTTAACCCACAAAGTTGTAGTTGAAAACAATGGCCACTTTTGGGTATAGGTGAAATCATTTTCCAAGCTTTAGTTTTTGTTGTTTGTGGAAGGCATCTGATACTTCCCTTTCTCTAGAGAAAACACAMTCAATCACTACTCTCTGGAATTTTCCCTGAAAATGGCCCATACAATGCCAAACACTTGGCTTGGCTACCCTGCTGCTCTACAACTGGAAAATAAAAATGAAGAAAATTTTAAAGTGTGAAGAGATATTTGAAGGATTATAAACCAATGGGGAAAATGGAGAGAAGAGGTAGCAGTGGCAGCCATTGTTAGTGCTTTTACACTTGGCTTTGGATTAGGGTTTTCAAAATGTAAGGGCGCTAAATACCAAGGGGAAGAAAACAATTAGCCATCCCTCTCTCTGTTTCTTGGGGAAAATGACAGTAGTCAAGAGATGGAGAATTGAACGAGCTTTTGAAGGGCTTCTTGATTATCAGCAAATGGCAGTGGTTGCTCTCTAATAATAAGATCAAACCCTAATAGAGAGAAAGGCCAAGGGAAAAGTTTTGGTTTTGGGTGTCTAATAAAGCTCAACTTTTCCCAACTTGATTTTGGTTGATGGGGGTTTTTTTTTTCCTTTAATTTTTGGGTGAAATATTGTGGGGTTTTGAAAGTTTTTGTAAAAATGTTGTTTTGTTGGTGGGTTTGGATTCTTTTGTTAGTGAAGTATGGGCATGTTGGAGGAAAAACATGGGTGTGTTGGAATAATTGTTATACGACTTTTTTTTCCCCTGTAAAAATGAGAAATATATGCATCCAACCCATCTAAACAAAACAACTATATATAGAGGGCTTAGAAAGATTGTTGAACATAAAAGATGGAGAAATGCAAGCCACTAAATAAATAAATAAATATATATATATATATATATATATATATATTATATCGATATGCAAATTTGGATTATATTTGGTTTATTGTTTTTAGATTTATTGAATCAAATAGATTAATATGTATTTAGCTTGTTTTTAAAAATTGTTTTCCAATCATGTGATCCAAATATTGTAAATTTTGAAAGGAAAAACATTTTTGTGGTTTAAGTGTTTACGGATTTTAAATTTGAAACTTTAAAATGCAGGATTAGATCAGAACAATAAAAACTTTGATAAATATATTATTTCATTTTATAAAGTGATTTGATTTTTGTTAAAATTAAAACATGTGAAGGACAATATACAAGTTAAAAYACTATTTTGATCATGGTACTTTGAGTTTGAGTTTGAGTTTTGGTTCATTTTRGTCCTTGTATTTCTAACTTTGGTTCATTTTATTCCTTAAACTTTTTCAAAATGTTCATTTTTATCCTTGTACTTTAACAAGTGATCATTTTGGTACCTATTTACAAAATTTCAAAACAAATTCTACACATAATGTAAATCTTTTATAAAATCATAGTTACATTTTAATAAAAAAATATTGAGTGTAGTGTCATTTTGAAATTGTGGTAGAAAAAATGAGAYTGAAGATAAAATGATATCTTTTTAAAAGTACAGGAACAAAATCGAACATTTTGAAAGTACATAAACTAAAATGAACTAATTATAAAGACCAAAATGAACGGTACATGACCAAAATGAACCAAAGCTCAAAATGCAATGACCAAAATAATATTTTTAACCTAACATAACAATTCTACAAAATTTATAACAAAAATGTTAACAAATCAATAAATATTATCTTAGATTCAACCTAAACATTTAGTTGGCCGTAACTACCAATTTACAAATATATTACGCCTCCAATAATTTTTTAAATTGAGATTCAATTTATTATGTTTTTATTGAATTCTCATATTACCAACTAAACTCACCTTTATTTTTTCGATCGATCCTGGATCTCGAGCTTAGATCTCAAACCTTTTAAACCTTGCCACGTCGAGAACATCGCATTCCTTAGATAAGAAGCCATCCCAATCAATATTGTACACTACTCACCCTTTTTAACCTGAGATAGGGAATTATAAAGAAGTGGGACCAATGTTTTTTCACCCATTTACAAGATCACAATACACGTGTATAATTGCTTCACCACTTTTTTTACAGCCATCAACATTAACCTCAATGCCCTTGTCAATAGTTAGTGGGGGTAAGAAAGAATATCATACAAAGATTGCGACACAAAGATTTTGATTTAACCTTGCATAATTCTATAACTTTTCTCCTATGAAATCTTGGATATAAATTTTTTTGTGGCATTTATGTTATCTATTTTTCTCAAAATATTCACTTTCTAAATAAAAATTTCAAAAAGTTCTCTCCTCCCCGCGAATTCGCCGCCAATGATTTTATGATTTTACAGAATGGTAAAATTTTAAGATAAAAATATCAAATCCATAGGATAATTAGTGATTTACTATGTTAATATCTTCGTTGGTCAATCAACCATGATTAGAATTAACTACTAATAAAAATAAGCAATGATTTACCAATTTGATGTCAATAAAGAATTAACGTAATAAAGAAAAAAAAATTCAAGGGATAAATATACATATAGACCATTTATAGATCCTGAGTTAAATCTTTATAATTTATACTTTTGTTAAAATAGAGGTCTGTTTAGTATGCTACTCAGYTAAGAATTATTTAATTATCTATTGTAATCTATTATTAATAAACAAGTAAGTCAAAGTGAGCATAGCTCCATGGTAATTGACATATACCTCAAACTAAGAAATTGTGAGTTCGAATCTCCTCCACAATACTAAAAAATTAATAATAATAATAATAAACAAAATAAACAAATAAAAGAATACGAAAATAAAAGAATATTAAAAATACCATTCAAATTAATTTGAAATTTCTACCCTCCAATGCCGGAGATGACGTGGACCTCCTGGATTGTTCCGACACATCATTAGCAACGCAGCCCACCTTAGAATAATTGGGCCAAATCTCAAATGAAGCCCATAACTTTAAATGGGCTGCGGATTATCGAATTCCAGGCCCAAAGTCCACGTCCTCTTTCTTCTTCTTCAAGCTCRAGAAAACCTCCACGACGGAGACTGCGAAATTCTCAAAATTCAGCGTTCGGCCTCACCGAATTTTGTGGCTTTCTACGATAATGGAATTTTTTCTTGAAGAAGGGAAGCAAATTCACGAGCAATGCTCCACTCTTGTTCTGGTTCGTCCAACAATTTCTCTGAGCTCCTGCTTTTTCTTTTTTCTTTTTGTTTTCGTTTTCGTTTTCATTTCCTATCAAGTAGTCAATCTAGCAGACGATTTTTGCGTCGCATTATTTTTGGGTGGTCTGAATACTTACGAAGGACGTGGAAGTTATAAAGAGAACGGAAATCTACTTTCCTCATTTCTTTTATTTTGTTCATTTTGCCATTTCCCCTGCCTTTGGCTCACTGCTAATTGTTCATAGAGACTCAGAAGAAGGGCGAGGCTTTGTGCCGTATCGTGATTTGATGGATTATTTACTTTATATTCCTCACTACTACGAGTAAGATTGTAATGTTTCTGCAATTCGTCGTTACTTGCAGTCGTTGCCCATTCCTGCGAATGCATGTGCTTAGCTTTGTGTGCATTTCTCTGTCTTTATAGTATAAATAGATAATAGCAGCTATCTGAGCTCGATAATCTGAGATCATTGGCCAATTATTCATTTCCCTTCTTCCTTGTTTGTATTTTCGAACTGAGAAACCAATGGCTATAAGTTTGTTTTTGGCATTAGAGCTTCAGAGCCAAGTTAAGTGGAGAGCCCGAACGTTAGGACCGTAGCCTCTTTTTCTGCGAATAACTGAAACACAACCATGATTCATGAAAATTCCGGAATATTGCACTTAGCGTCCAAATACACACACCCAAAACAACTCCTAGTGAATTTCCCCCTTTGAGTTGGGTCCTACCATTCCTTTCATGACCCTTTCCCGTGAAACTTGACCAGTAGATTAACAGAACTCACATGAGCAGGTTCTAGAAGAGGCAGCCTGGATGACAGCATATACTGAGTGGTCAAGACCAATCCATAAGGAATGGTCACAAGCTGGTTATACTCCTGAGTCCTCGATGACTGGAAATGTCATGCCAGGATTGCCAGATTTTCCACTGGAACTGGAATATGGGATGCACTGTTGAGAAGGGTGGATTAAGTATTACCTTTCAAGTTTTGAGCTAACAGAGCAGCCACACACTTCTCCAGGCATGGCATGCAGAACTAGGCAAAAGCAAGGGCATAGCAAATGAGTTGGAGGTAATAGGAAACTTTTGATAGAGGCCAGTTAGATATCTTGAGAGTTTGGGCAGATGTGCATTTTGTTATTTCCACATACCATATAACTAATAGTGCTCTATTGAATACATAAGTAGCTGCTTATTAGTTTTGTAAATAAATCGAAGAATCAAAATTCTGAAAATTGGATGTAACTCTTTCAGTAAATAGAAAGTTGCAGAAAGTTCAACTGAACTTTTTTCCAGAGAACAGATGCGTGGAGTTGGTAGACCTTCCAACTTTACAATAATATATTTGATATCAAATTTTGCACAGTTCATCAATCTCATTCTGACCTGGCCTATTGGGAAAGTCAGAGCTTGCAGAATTGGACAAGATCATAGATGCAACTTAGGAACACAAAGCACAATGTTAGTTTTGTAGAAAACTAGGGTATTCAGCATTATTATACTACGATCATGCTTGTATTAACTATTAGCCTCAGAACCATAATTGTCATTCCTGTTTAAGTCTTAGATACGGCAGATTGTATGTGCATGACATAGAACCTTTGGCAGYAAATTTTACTGCCTCTGCTGTCTCCTCAATTCATTAAGACACAGGGACAGGGTGTCACATAACATGACTCCTAACCTCTCTATACTCCCCCATCATGATGCAAACAAGGTTGAAGTGGGAAACTGTGAAAAGATATATAATTACAAAGTTGGTAATGTTCAAATCCTAACTTCCTACAACAATTTATCTTTGAAACTCATTTTGCACACTATTGAAATTCTGAGAGGACTTTTAGTGGAAGTTTCGCCAAACTGTGCTTTGACGATAGAGCACGTGTTGAATTTCAACTTTCTGTTTTCGTTGTTAGGAACTTTCACCAAGAGCATCTTGATCATGACCTTTATACACGAAGTTCTGCAAATATGAAATCAAGAGTTTCCTCTTTTTGGCCATGACCTTTCGGACCCCATCATAGTGCATATCTAGTCAAGTTCTTTTATGTAAATTTGTGTTAAGCCACTTAGGACGTTCATTATAACTTATAAGGAAGCAACCTTTTGAGTGAATGCATAAACTAAACTGACAATTAGAAACCTCGTGAATTTTCTCATTGAAAAAAAAAAAAAAAACTCTTTGAATTTGAATTTTGTTAAAACTGGTCATGCTTGCTCAATCTGACAGGCATGTGCATAGCTTTGTATATTATTCTCTTTGTTTATAATATAAAAACTATGGAAGACCTCTGAACTCGGCATGCCGTGATCAATTTCTTCAAAGTTTTGTATTTTCTTTTTGTTTTCTTTCTTTTCCTCCTTTTAGGAGTTTTGTTTCCTTTGACCATTTGTTGTTTYTTTTCATTATATGAATGAGAAGGTCGTGAAAYAAAAAAAGGAAAAGAAACCGGTGGCTATCAATTTGTTCTCTAACTAAATTGGGTACTTTGTTTTGATTATCAATTCATTCAGCCAGCGTTGTCAATTGGGAATGTGGGGCAGTTAGCAGTAGATCTGTTGGTTTCATCAATGAGAGCAGGGAGAATTGGTTATTTTGATGATCCTTATGTTCTGCCCTGTGTTGGTAACAATGCTTACGAGCCACTTCCTCATGGGGAGCTTGCCCTCCCTCTTGAAGGTCTGTCTTGCTTGACAGTAATTTATTATTCAAATTTCTTGAAGTGGTATTGGAATTTATAATTTTCAACACGAGCTGTGTAATATCAACTTCTTTTTATCTTCTGGTAACGCTTTTCTAGGAAGGCTTGAATGAGTTTATGCATTAACCTTTTTCTTTTCTTTTCCATTTTTTTTTCAGTTTATGAGTCAACATCTAATGCGTTGACCCTTATCCAGCAAAGGTCACCTGTGATCAAGGCAAGTTCTAATATCCCCGCGGTATTTACATATTCCTGAATATTAGGGCSATGTGCGAGGTATATAATGCCTTATCTTAAAAAGGGGGTATATAATGTCTTTCAACGAGACTAAAACTGTGGATAGTCTCTGCAGAAATTCATAAAATGAGTATTGTACCCTATCGTGAATAATGTTTCTATCATCTCAAAGTGTAAGTCTACTTTTAGAGTGCAGTTCCAGTATCTCCAATCCAATTTAGACTTCAGAGAGATCACATAGCAAGAGAAATATACTAGTCTATTATGTTATCCATTTTCTGCTGCTATATCGAGTCGATGTTAGTACTGCTCATTGGTTTGTTGATTCCTTTTCTTAGCTTTGGTGGTGTCAATTTTAAAATATTTGAATGAATATATGGTTGTTGAAACAGGGAAAAATGGTAAATTTTGCAAAGAACTTGGTTGATTTTATTGCAGCTTGTGGGAAGAAGCATGTTGTTCTGCTTTCTAGTTTAGATTTTGGAAGGTGGCAACAAATTGATACGTCAAGGTATTTATATGGTACCTCTTTAATACATCTTGGTCAGTACATTTAAAATTTTTAAGGTTAATTTTGTTGCTAAGTCCACCTTTTTAGTCGCATAAGTGCAATGAAGCGATTAGTATACAAACTGAAGCAACTCTTACAATAAATATTTAAACCTAGTCACAGCTGTTTAAGGACCGTAAAGCATATTTTGAATGGATGGTTTGCCAAATCTATTAGCTTAGAAGTTACTTGTAAACTATTTTAATTACATTGCCTGTTCCTTGCATACAGCAAGGCTGACCAATTAACTGTCATTCCATAGTTGTTAATTTGGCCTTCGGATGCATATCAGTGGTTCGCAGATACATTATCTTTCTAGCACCAGCGATGATGGAACTGATGACAACTGTGAAAAACTGGGATGGAGAAGGGTGCAGGAATATGACCCAGMGCAGCCACGATGGGAACATCTTACCACTTTAACTAAAGCCAAGGCTACAGAGGAGAATGACCTGCCTTTTGATGAGGGGTTAGAGGAGGGAGACTACCTCCCAAGTCTACCATTTGCCTCTCTCTTCACTTGTTTGAAGGTATAATTTTGTAAACATCACTATAAACTTTGTTTTTATTCAAGATTTGTTTCCCAAGAATGGCACTTATGTTTGTTGTGGTGTCAAGGCCAAAGGTGTAAAGGTCACCTGCTTATTATGCTATTGTTCAGAAGGAGACAACATACCTGATGCTTTCCACTTGGCTGAGGCAACAGGCAAACTTCTCGGTCTGAGTCCTGGTAATTCCTTAGTTTCACTTGCCAATATTTTCACAACTGACATATCTTTCTACCTGTTTAGTCTTAGGGTAAATTAGAAGTTCAAACCCTACGTCTCTTCCTTTCTGTATAAATTCAGACTATGGTGGCCATCTACCTAGGATTTAATATCCTATAAATTACCTTGGCAATAAAATGTAGCAGAGTCAGACAGTTATTCCATTAGATTAGTCGAAGTGCAGGCAAGCTGACCCAAATACTTACGGATATCAAAAAAAGAAAAAGAAAAAAAGAGAAAAGAATAAACAGGTAGAAAGATAGTAGTTGTTATGGGGTGCTCCTCCCGGTCTAGATACGTGTGTCTGAGCCTCTGCTCGAGTGCCCCATAGATGAGGAGGATGGGCCTATGACTTCATATGTAGAGTTTAGCTCGACTTCAACCTAGGGAAGATTTTGATCGCATGAAATCTGGGAACATACTTTGATGAACGAAGGAACATAGTTTGTTCATATTCTCTTAAATAAGGTTCTCCATTTCTTAAAAATAAAATCTAAAGGCATCTCCAGAGTATCTCCACCTTGTGTATGTATAAACAATTACTTCGAAGTATCCTTGCATGTGCGAAAGATTCACATTCCCAAAGTATCTCGCTTATCTATACATTCTTTGTCTAACAAACTTCCCATATTGGGAAGGGTGTAACAATACTCATTCCCTACACTTTTTACATAAGCAAATATTTTTTATTTTCTCCCCAACCATTTCATCATAACTAATGGGCTCTAGAGCTGTTTTCGTAATGTACATTCAAAGTTTTCATTTTACTTTTCTGGAATCTGTACAACTGTAAAAGTAACACTTGAAACCTCTGTCCTATTTCTTATGACTTTCGATTCAGGTGGCGAAGGTATTAAGTGGCTTATCCCCTTCTCTTGGAAGTCTGTTTATGGACCACCACCAGATGTCTCCATATTCTAGACATGGATGGATATAATGAATGATCAACAACTACGACGATCAACGCTTTGCCAATTTTGATAATCTAATGCCAGAAAGACCCAGTTGAGGAAGATATTGTTGTGTAAAGTAGAATCATGAAAAGGCACCTCTGAATCCATTCTGTTACAGTACAGGTGCAAGCTTCTCCCTGTTTGATGAACTATTTAACCTTAATGCATCTTGAATGAGAACTTTTTTTTATGTTGAAACAAACTGTGTTTGGTTTACCATTCTGTAGTTTCAAAATAGGAATGGACACAGATTGAGCCATATTCGAGGGATAGTTGCAAAACTAGCATAATAGAGATGAAATCTTTAACTTTTTTATAGCATTTTAAAGGAGATTTTTTCTGTCCCGGTTTCCATTTTGTAGTTTCAAAATAAAATAGACAACCATATTCAAGTATTAGTTGCAAAATTAGCGTAATATAGACGAAATGTATACATTTCTTAGGCTCTTAACCACTTAGAGTCGCTTGATTTTTTGAGAATCTAAATATCTAACGGGAATCTTAAAAATTCAAGTTATTGAAAGCATCCAAAATTGTTTGTATGCCTCATGCTCGAGTAACCAATATTCCTATTAAATAAACTCACGATTCCTATTAAATAAACTCAAGAATTTAGATGCTCATCCCACAAAAATCTTACATTCCCATATGAAAAACTGCCCCTAGCAGTACAGTTAGAGACTGTTTTGCTCATTATCTTCAATTTCAGTATTTATAATATCTTTTCTTTTTCTACTTTATGTTTTGATAAATAAGTATGTTTACTCAAAAATTTACTTTTTATAAATATACTTTTTTAAATTCTTAATCAAATATTAGAAACTTTTAAAGAAAAAAAAAATTCTAAAAATATGTTCTTATTTTTCTAAATTTTCAAAACCAATAGTTTTTTTGAAATGATAAAACCAAAGTAAGACAACAGATCTATAAATAAATAAGCTTAATCCGACTAAAAATATGTGTAATTATTCAAGTTAATTCTTGTTAGTCAATTGTACTGCCACCCGACGTTGTGTTTGATAAATATAATTGAGAAATTGTCTCAAAAAGACACTTTTCTTAATAAAATAGTCGCACTTTTTAAAAAATTGATATTTTTATTTTTTTATTTTACATTTTACATTTTTATCATGTCTGTTTTGTCCTTCCATGTAACAATAAATATTTATTATTTCAAATATGATATTAATTTAGTTAATTATTAACTATGATTTGAATATTCAATTTATAAATCTTCAATCTTTCACGTGTTTTAATTAATTTTTATGATTTTTTTTATTTCAAAGTTTCTATTATAATTATTCTAATTATAAACCATCATGGAAAGTTATTGCTTAAGTGTATAAATTAATTTTCAATTAAATGCCTGTATTAGATATCTTCATTATAAATATATTTAATGTACATTATATATTTATAATATATTGAACAAATTATTCGTAAGAATAGAAGGTGCATTATAAATATATTTTAATATAGATTATATACTGTAAATACATATACTTCAGCCAAAGTGAGTATAGCTCAGTGGAAATGTCAATCAAGAGAGTGTAGTTCCATTCCCCACCCCACATGTACTAAAAAAAACATATGCTTCATTTTCATCAACTTCTTTATTCATTTTAATTTATTTAAATGTACACTATAAATATATTAACAATTTGTTTGTAAATGTTAAATAGGTATATTATAAATATACCTTACCAACTTGTTTGTCAATGTTGGATATATACATTATAAATATATATTACATACATATTATACGGCGAGACGTGGGTACATTTTCTAAGCATTGGGATGGGTCGATCCGACTTATTTTTTTAATTGGCATCTTTAGTGAGGTTTCTCACAAATAACTTTTTTTTCACCATGGTCTATAGGGTGTGTATTTCTTTTAGACTACAATTAGACTAATTATTATCGCTTTTAACAATGGGTTTTTGAAAAATTGTGATATGATTTATGAACTTTTGGGTTTATATCTGATGCGTACTTAAATGACTTATTAAATACTGTACTTAAATGACTTATTAAATACTTTCAAATTTTAAGGTTCTATTAAATACAAAATTGAAAGCTCAGGATATACCATACATCTTTTTAAAAGTTCTGATCTATTAAACTTAACATTGAAAGTTAAATCATATTAGACTAAACTCTAAAAGTTGAGAGACTAAACTCGTTGCTTAGCCTAAATGAAGTCATTTTTAATTTATTAGAGTTGAAATTCAATAAAATGTATAAAAAAAAAATATCAAAAGTCTTTTCCCATGATAAAGTAAAAAATGGTCTGAACTTTTTATTAAAAAGAAAAGGAAGAGAAGAATCAAGATATTATTCATTATAAAAATTAAGAATCATTTGGAATTATACTTCTATTACTTTAATGACATTATTTGGCATTTACCTGGTTTTTTATCATCATAATTTCATATAAAACTGGCTTTTAATTAATAGATTTGGATTTGGAAATCTTTAGAGCCATTTAACTTTTCAATACAATATTATAGTTTCAATTATGTCATTTTCAAAAGGAAACAAAAATATGTCATTTTCAATCTCCATATACTTTTTTTTTTTTTTTAATTCAACGACATGTAGAAGTACAAATTCAAACCTCTAAAGTTGAGGATATATCCTACCAGCTGAGAGTTGATCTAATTTTTATTGTTATTTTTTTGGACTATCTGCAAATTATTGTTATTATCCAGCCTAATATTGAAAAGACAATAATTCAAGAAGGATGTAAAATCTAGCAAAAAGAAAAAGAGAAGAGAGAGAGAGAGAAAAAAAAAGCACCGAAATCTAGATCCATCATCAATTATCTAAAAATTATATTATATTTTTCGCCTACACTACCTTACCATATTTTTTTAATTTTTGAAGTTTTATTTTCGTTCCTATATTTTTAGTTAAACCTTATTCTGAACTTAATTTAGATGAAAATTTTAATGCAATTTGGTGACTCTGATAACAATGACAGAGTTATTTATATATATATATTTTTAGTAGAACCAAGATTTTAAATATTTATAAGAATATTGAGGTCTCAATTTTATAGAAATGTAGGTGAAAATATTGATTAAACTTTATTTTAAATCAATAAATAGAATGAAAATTCGAACTCATGACTTTTATGTTGAAATTAGTGAAATTGGTCGGAGTTTAAAAACTTTACCATTAAAAAAATCATCAATAATGTCCAGACTTAATTATTAAAAATTCAAACCATACCACAATCAAACCAAGCCAAAGAGTGTCCACATCTACCTCAATTAGAATAATTACTATCCACAAAAAAAAAAAAAAAGAAGTCTCATCAAATTATAATAATTCTCATAACTAAACACAGATTTTTATAAAATGATAACATTAATAATGACTAAATTTCCAACTACATTATTTTGGGCAACATGGTGCCCCATTCATATGGGTTTCATCTCGTCAGATACACATGATTTCTCTTTATTTAAAATCTCCAACTCAAACAAACAAACAAAAATTACAATATAATTTTTATTTTAATTGTGCAGAATAATCAAGTATGTGTTGGTTATTAATTTTTTTTTTGTTTATAAAAAATAATTGTGTTCTAAATTCATATAACACGTGTGATTTTTTAAATTTGCAGCTGGACACGTCTTATTTTCCGTAGACTATATAAATCCAACTAATGGACCAATGGGAATTATTTTCAAAACAAATATTTATGTATTTTTTAAATAAAGTTATTTTTTATTGTAAATGGTAGTTCTATATGTGCATGATTAGATAGATTCAACGCTAATGGTAGTTCTTTTTTTTTTTTTGTATTTATTCTTATAAATACAAGAGCATCCTTTTAAGAGATATTTTAAAAATAAATTCAACGTTAATTATTTTATTTTAAAATCATTATGTAAATTTAATGACTAAAACCTAAGCTAATTTGTATTGTAAATTTTCTATCCACCGTAAAATCTTAATTTATAAATTTAACTTTTTTACACCAACTCATCAAAACTCCACTTGTTTTTACTTGAATTGAGGGTTAAAATACTATTTTGGTTCCTAGCTTTGATTCAGTTTGACCCTTCTATTTTTAGAATGTTCATTTTCCTTAATGAACTTTCAACTTTTGTTAATTTTTGTCCTACTATCAAAACGTTCATTTTGATGATTGTTTTAGTCTCCATTTGCAAATGTTTTACACAAATTCTATAAACAACATAAACCCTATAATATAAAGTTATAGCTACATTTTAAGAAATATATTGAGTATAGTGTCGCGTTGAAATTGTAATAGAAAAAAATAAGATAAAAAATAAAATGAAATGGCGAAAACAATAACTTTTTTAATAGTGTGAGACAAAACTAACTCAGTCTCACTCGCAGTCGTTAGACGAACATCCCCAATTCCTCTAATCTTGGAGAGTCTCCCATTTCCCATCCTCACTGCGCCATGATTTCCTGCAGTAAAGGACATGAACCAACTCCTGTCTGAATTTACATGCACCGAAGCTGCACTGTCCACTACCCATTCTGATGACCGGTCTACAGGTGTTGTGTTACCTTCAATACAAGCTAACACCTCCGTTGACATGTAATGTAAAGTGTTCTCATTTTCATGATCCTCTTTAAGCTTCCTGCAGTATTTCTTGAAGTGGCCCTTCTTATGGCAGTAAAAACATTCGATTTCTCCACTGGAACTCCCACTACCCCTCTTATTCCTATGTTCCTGCTTCCCGTTGTACTTCATCTTGCCCTTCCCCTTAAACTGAGCTACCAAAGCTGATTCAATCCCGATTTCTGTCTCTAATGTAATTGCAGACATTTTCGCTAATTTTCTCCAGGCTTCCTCAGATAAGGCGGCATCACAAATAACTGAAAATTTCAAGCTATTTTCTCATAGCGAATTCGACACCGCGGTCTTCATCGTCTCCCAACTATCAGGCAAAGATGTCAACAACCTCATAGCCTTCACATTTTCCTCAATCTTGACACTCAAACTTGTTCAAGATATCGGTGAGCTCATTAATGTGAGAATTCTTCGAGGTTCCCTCCTCCATGTGGATATTAAAATACTTCGTCCATAGAAATATTTTTGTATTGGCAGAAGGTTTTTCATACCTGTCTTGCAAGGCCTTCAACAACTCTTTTGCGGTCGTCTCTTTTGCCACGAGACTGCATACCCCCATTGATAGTGTCATTCTGATATTTGCAACGGCCTGCTCATCCATCTCATTCCAAGCTTTGTCTGTCATATCCGCTAGTCTCTCCTCCAAAGTTTTGTGTATCTTCTTGCACGTAAGAAGATCCTTTACTTGCATCTTCCAAAAACTGAATTCTCTCCATTGAACTTCAGAACCTCTTCATAGTAATGATGTGTGTGATATTTGTCTCCCATGACTCTAAAACCTAGGCACTGATACCACTTGTTGGAAAAAATTTCTCACCAATATTTTCCAATTGAGATGTATGGATTCATGGATCAATGTGTCTATTATAGATCCTGTTCACGGGTTTAGACGTCACTTCTTCATTTCTCGACTTTTTTTCATCTCTTTTTCTAGTTGTCCTTTCTAATATTAGAAAACGTTGGAAAAAAACTCATCTAAAAATAACCTTCAATCATAGAAAGCATATAAGTACTTTTAACCACAGGACCATACATAATCTTTCAAGTGTTTATTTTTTTTTTTGCAAGCTCTTTAGATTATATGAAACCTCATTTTTAAA